ATAAAACTTACACTGAGGACCCTATATCTTCAATGAAACCCGCTTACAAGATAAATATGGGTAAAATACATATCGTCGTAGCACCTTTAAAACCACTACAGTGAGGGGAAAGAAGGTTCGAAGACGACAATACTTCATAGGAATGAAAAGAAAATGTCAAGCGCAAAAAGAATGTTCAAATGAAACAGGAGCGCTTATAAAGATCGCAAAGAAGATAAATGAATCGAAAAATTACGCAAAACACATTTCACTCAAGTAGAGGACACATTTCACACAAGTAGAGAAGACATCCGTGAAGTTTTAAACACTATGACCCCTGGCGTAGTAGGTAAGGAACAAAGAAAAACAAAGAAAAGTCGGACATCTGTTCAGGTAACTGACTACTAGGTACGAGCTGGACCGAGTCATAGAGGTGAGCAATATGAAGAAAGTTTTTTACTCATGCACTGAGGGAGCGTAAAAAAAAGTTAAAGACAGTACAAACCTGCGCATTAGGTCCTCGTATCGTACTCATGTTCCATCTATTCCGGTCCCAAGTGTGTCCACCCTGACTCCCACCAGGTGATCTTGCTCCTGTTGAGCCATCGCTGAGAGCCGTATCGGTCTGTAAAGGAAGATATATTGTGGATTAATTTCGAGAGCGAACACTTTTGAAAAAACACTAAAACAACGAGGGCTAAGTAAATGAGAATCATGAAAGCTCGTTATAAGGAAAATCCTGAGCACTTACCCCAGCGCTTCCAATGGAATCCACAATTACGGTTCCCTCACTGCCCTCACCATGTTTTGCACTCAGTGATGACGGACCTTCTCCAAAATCTGAACTGGATCCCGGCCATCCTGACCCTCTATTATCTCCATCACTGAATAAATTATAAAAATGAGCAACTAAGAAGTTTTGAGAAGTATGAAGGGCGGCTTACTTCATATCAGGCAATACAATATCGGGAACCTCGGGCACTGCATCGGGAAATGTGAACTTGCGTTCTCCACTTCGTGATGGAGCTGTTGAAAGCGCATACGGGCTATTTGCATAGCCTAGACCTAGATAAAGGGACCGCTTATGTGAATTCGTTGTAAACTCATTGAAATTTGCTAATAATAAAATTGAAACAACTTACTCAATGGAAGAGCAGGAGTGCTTGGAGCCGAACTGTTGGTCGAAGAAGAACTATCACCAATACCCATCCCTGAATCCGGATATTGAAAGGCCGGCTCATTCAATGACCGGGACATCGGTACGGCACTTTGTGGATCATTCCAAATGTCCTTAAAATGAGAAACACTTTGAGCACTGCTAGAAAACTGCGTTCCCTAAAGTACTAGTCTCATCAAAACTTTTTTGAGGGTCAGAAAATGAAACAGTCTCTTGTTCAAAAGTAAAGTTGAAGGAAAGCGTAATCTGATCAACAATATGAGTGCAATACCATAGAAAAATATATTGATGTTACCCCGTTATTCTGCTGGACAAGTTTATCAAAGAGAATTCGCAAGTGTTCAGGGGTGAGACCACAGGAATCTCCAATGCGACTCCGACAGTGGGTATGTACTTTCCACCTGAAAATGTCTTTGTCTAACCACACTAGAAGTTGTGATCTGAAAATTAAAACTCACTTGCACGATCTGCACTTTTCCCAGGCGTGCAAAAACCCGAAACCAAGTGGTCGTTGACAAAAATGACAGACTGTAATGTGCGGTGTAAAGTCGAGTTAAAGTTTAGCACTTCATCGCTCTCATGTTCAATTAGTTCTAATCTTTCTGAACGTGCATTCGCAATAGAATGCACTAATGACAACAATTACATTAACATACATTAGTATTCAAGCTTATTAATATCTGCTTATGATCGAAATCTATTACAGGTGATGCTAATGCAAACAGTTCACACAGTAATACAATAACATCTGATAGTGCCGTTTAATTCATCACTCCTACATGGAAACATCGAATACAACTCACCAGAATCACTGTTCAATCGGAATTTGGTCGTCTTAGTCCACTTGTGCGGTATGGCATGCACAAGCCTTGATGGTTTCGGTGATCGTTGCACACCTTCAACGGTAGCAGTTATCGTTGTAATACGAAACCGGATAATGCAAAATCAAAGTACGAAAAAGTTCAAAGGAAATGAACGTCTGCTCACCGAACTGCATGCTAGTGGACTGAACGACACGACTATTGGCACCCAGGGTTGGAGTTGACTGAGTACTACCACACCCGATAGGGGAGGGTGGAGAAAGTGTGTGCGAGCGATGGGCGGCACCACCCACACCGAAGGATGAAACAGATACTGCCAGCGAACCTCCGCTACCGGAAGGACTGCGACTGCAATAATTAACATCATTGGGCCTTACTCAACATTTCAAGTTGACCTCTGTTGAAATGAACAAAGAGCTGTAGAAATTTCAGATTCACGGCCAATTCATATGCATGACAAGAAAGCAATTTAACGCAGCTAGCCTATAAGTTGAAGTATAATGCGCATCGTGGTTGCTGCTTTGCAAAGCTAATATATACAAAAGTGACGCTCATTGAAACAGAGCTTAAGAGCTAAACAGAGGTAAATGAGACAAAAGTAAGGAAGGATGGTCTGAATTTTCAAGGAAGATCTTATTGATCACGATCGAAAATGGCAACTCTCCCGTAATAAAGTTAATAACGAAGCAATCATGCGTCGCGGATGCTAATCATAAAAATAGAGCCTCGATTTGGACGTGGAATAAAAGCGTTTGCTGACGCGACTCACAACCACATCAAATGCGAAAAATACTATTTCCATCAGCTTACCTGTGCGAAGCTGACGCTGCAGAGATGGAGCCGAGAGAATCACGAATAGGGTCGGTGGGAGAATCACGTTCACTCGTACTTAATGAGGATCACGTAAAATGAATAAACTAAAGAAAAAATCGCGTTACTTACCCTTCCTCGTCAACAGGAGTAACGATAAATCGAGGACTTGGAGGACTTGCAGACTCTGAGCTTATGCCCCGCCAAGTGGCACCTCTTTCTGTAATGAAGCTTTTGCAGTATGAAACGTGATTTTGCACAGATTTCTAATGTCCAAAAAATAACAATAATTCAAGTTGCGAGTGAAACAAAATATATTCATTGTGACTAGTGGATGAATGAGAAGAAATGTTTTAACAGGAACGTTAGCAGAGGGTCATACAGCTTTTGAAGCTTTCAAAGTGAGTTATATTATTGTATAGACATCAAAGACCGCGCGTTCTTTCGCAACAGCCCTTTGCGCTCTAAACCAGTTTAATATTTGTATGACTGTCGCGCTTCTACCAACAGACCACTTATACTGGATCCTTCGCAAAACAAAGTACTTACAACTTCCCAATCGATAATTAGAACTTGTATGACAACTCACTTGAACAAAGGGGAGAGCAAGCGGACCACGAAAGCTGATAGTCGGTAAATGAGGTTACTTCGCCGCCACGTTCCTTCGCAGCTGAAATCATGTCATCAGAAGTGGAAAAGATTCGATGAAATAAGAAAGGTAGGGATACTACGGTCACAACACTCCTATAATGTTAACAAATGTGAAAATCGATGAACTTGAGGTTTCCACGTTTTTCGCTCTACATTTAGATGTAATAATATGAACATGCAATGATTTCTCGGTCAATTGACAATGTGAAGCGGATAAATTTCGAACAGAATGAAAGCGGAAAAACTAGAACAGCCCGCATGAAGGCGAGGGATAGAGAATTTTCAGATTCTGCAAGGTACTCTGATAGAACATTCTTGGACCAGGAAGTTCCAGCGATTTTCGTGATCACAATATGTGGACAGCTGTTTCAATGAAAATAGCTATAAATACCAGATTCAAACAGTTGGTTCTCCACCTTGTGAAACAATCAGTCCCAACTACTTGAACTACATGAGAATGATTGATGAAGTCAGCATGGTACTAGAAACTTCCGAAAGATTTCACAACGTTCTATCGAGGAACTCTTAGGCAGCTCGATAGAAATGTAACAAATTTGAGCTATTAACAGAGTATTTCCGACTAACAGCTCATGGAGTAGGGTTTAAAAGACGTCTCCAAGTACAGTATCGACTAATGACTGTGCATTCGAGTCTAGTTCAATGCGGGCATTACAATGCCGAAGAATGAAGAAAGCCTTCGTATCAAACTACAGTCACTGCTGATTGAAAGTTACTGCTAAGAGGTAACATCATTGAGACCAATGAGTCAAGACATTTTAGACTATGACTCAGCGAAACTAGAGACTGCCTGCCTTGTGCCACACGAGCCAAAGTTCACAGAATCCTCACTCATTTATGGAGGGAAAGCATTAGTCATATGTTCCGCTCCATAAATCAATTCCAAGCTAATTTTTCCAAAAACTTCTCAGCAAAACAGCTTTATTTATGTCCAAGATCCCAGGCTAAACGTGCAAAGGAAGAGTCGCACTGTACTTGTCTTTATCTCATATTTCAGCTTCACTGTTACAAACAATTAGACATGTTCCTTGGGGTGAGGAAGTGTAAACGGTCAGGTATAATCTGAGGAAAGGCTCCGGCTTACAATGATGAAAACTATTGTCGAGCACAACACATCGTGTCGCTTTGCAATCGAACAAGGTGCGGTTCAAAAAACCGCGTTTACCCATTTATAAGCATACTACATCTTGAATGAAAGACGCTTACGGCAAGATGCGCAGACCTATGGCAAATTTTAGTGACAAAAATGGATCTATGACTTTTGGAAATCGATCTATGGCTTTTGGAAAACGTGGACAAAAGCAATTATTATAGCTAGGACACCTCCTATATGGTAGCTCCAATGCAGGTGAATTGATTATTCCTAGTTTTGTCTATCCAAAAATTGCGCCATCAGACAAAACACTTTTGTTTGATGTCACCCAATTACTCCGCTAAACAATTTTAAGAATGTAAATATCTTTTTTTTTCAACTTTTCATCCCATCTCAGCTTTTCGGGCATAAGAGAACAATCGTCAAATCTCAGGCTTTCACGCTACGTCCAATTAATTTACTTCTTATAATCTCCCAGGGATATCAGCAATCCTAGAATAGTATGTATGGCCATGTTCAGCAATAATCCCGTCATGACGTAGAAAGAAAATTGGCGTTTGATAAAACTAAAAAAAAACCTTGAATGACTATTGTCACATTCAAAGAAATCTATAGCATCAGGATGTTTTTCAAAGAAACGACAGGAGAGCAGTACGTGAAGGAAAGTACCACGACGACAAGGACTAGAAAATGCTGTACGTGTTGAGTTGAGGATACTTAAGAATACAATAACGATAGACTGATTGATGAGCAGTGCTGTGGCGACTATGGTGAGAGGGTTGCCGGCAATAACAACGATCACGACGACGTCAAACCGTTGCACTAGCGCCGCACCTATCGATTAGAACTCCACAACGAACTCATATACAAGATCAATCGCTGTAACATCGCGACAAATTCGTACAAAACAAAAGACTGTGACTCGTAGGGCCCAAATAACACGACGAACTGTAAAACTCAGAAGAAGAGCTGAAGGGCGCTACGCGAAATGACATTCGTTTGCGAAGACCATTCATACCAGCACAACGCACGCACCCAATCGAATCACCATCGAAGTGCAAAATAACCTGCGTACAGTGATACACTGTTTTTCTTGTTTTTGAAGTAAATGAAAAAGGGAAGAGTAGCTTCGATTACGCATCACTAGAATTGCTTGAGAATGGAGATTTATTCTAAGGTTATTTACTACGATAATTCTCCACTTCGGCAACATAGTTTAGGAGTAAGTTCACCAGGAAAAGTATCACGAAATAAAAATCGCAACTTAGACAGTCCCGACCAACGGCCCAAAGCCCGCACACATTCCTAAGAA